CGCTCACTCACTCACTCACTCATTCACTCACTCACTCATTCACTCACTCACTCACTCACTCACTCACTCGCTCACTCACTCACTCACTCACTCATTCACTCACTCACTCACTAACTCACTTACTCACTCACTCGCTCACTCATTCACTCACTCACTCATTCACTCACTCACTCACTCACTAATTCACTTACTCACTCACTCACTCATTCGCTCGCTCACTCACCCGCTCACTCACTCACCCACTCACTCACTCACTCACTCACTCACTCACTCAGTCACTCACTCACTCGCTCACTCACTCACTCACTCAGTAACTCACTTACTCACTCACTCCCTCATTCACTCGCTTACTCACCCACTCACTCACTCACTCACTCGCTCACTCACTCGCTCACTCACCCACTCACTCACTCACTCACTCGCTCACTCACTCGCTCACTCATTCACTCACTCACTCGCTCACTCACTCATTCACTCACTCATTCACTCACTCACTCGCTCACTCATTCATTGACTCACTCACTCACTCACTCACTCATTGACTCACTCACTCACTCACTCACTCATTCCCTCACTCACTCACTCACTCACTCATTCACTCACTCACTCATTCACTCACTCACTCAGTCACTCACTCATTCACTCACTCACTCACTCACTCACTCATTCACTCACTCACTCATTCACTCACTCACTCAGTCACTCACTCATTCACTCACTCACTCACTCGCTCACTCATTCACTCACTCACACGCTCACTCACTCATTGACTCTCTCATTCACTCACTTATTCACTCACTCATTCACTCACTCACTCACTCGCTCACTCATTTACTCACTCGCTCACTCACTCACTCGCTCGCTCACTCACTCACTCACTCACTAACTCACTTACTCACTCACCCACTCACTCACTCACTCACTCACTTGCTCACTCACTCACTCACTCACTCATTCACTCACTCACTCACACGCTCACTCGCTCACTCACTCGCTCACTCACTCACTCACTCACTCATTCACTCACTCACTCACACGCTCACTCGCTCACTCACTCGCTCACTCACTCACTCATTCACTCACTCACTCGCTCACTCACTCGATCACTCACTCATTCGCTCACTCACTCGCTCACTCACTCGCTCACTCACTCATTCGCTCACTCACTCACTCACTCATTCACTCATTCACTCACTCGCTCACTCACTCACTCACTCAGTAACTCACTTACTCACTCACTCCCTCATTCACTCGCTTACTCACCCACTCGCTCACTCACTCACTCATTCACTCACTCACTCACTCACTCACTCGCTCACTCACTCATTCACTCACTCCACTCATTGACTCTCTCATTCACTCACTTATTCACTCACTCATTCACTCACTCACTCGCTCACTCACTCACTCACTCACTCATTGACTCTCTCATTCACTCACTTATTCACTCACTCATTCACTCACTCACTCGCTCACTCACTCACTCACTCACTCATTGACTCGCTCACTCACTCGCTCACTCACTCACTCATTCACTCACTCACTCATTCACTCACTCACTTGCTCACTCATTCATTCCCTCACTTACTCATTCACTCACTCATTGACTCACTCACTCACTCACTCACTCACTCATTGACTCACTCACTCACTCACTCACTCATTGACTCTCTCATTCACTCACTTATTCACTCACTCATTCACTCACTCACTCGCTCACTCACTCACTCACTCACTCATTCACTCACTCACTCATTCACTCACTCACTCGCTCACTCATTCATTCACTCACTGACTCATTCACTCACTCATTCACTCACTCACTCGCTCACTCATTCATTCACTCACTGACTCATTCACTCACTCATTCACTCACTCACTCACTCACTCATTGACTCACTCACTCACTCACTCACTCATTGACTCTCTCATTCACTCACTCATTCACTTGTCCATGTATTCATTCATTACTACCCCACACTCCTGCTACCTGTGATGTGCTATCTCTCCCAGGCACTGAAGGTAAGATAGGTCTTGGGGAGTTGATGGAACAGAGATGGAGAACTAGGTGGCAATCAGCAGCTTAGGACAGGCCCAGGAGAGTCATAAGCAACTGCTCAGAACAGCTGAAGTGCCTCTCCTACCCCAGAACTTTCCCTGGCTGGGTGGGTCCAGCCCAGCTTCTCCCCTCACTGCTGTCCCTCCCTGGTGGGGCTTCCTGGTAGGGCCCACCTAGTGGGCAATGGCACTGCTGGCCTTGGTTGTCCAGTGCCCACCTAGATCCAAGTGCCTGAAGCACAGTGGAGTCGTGGGCAGTTCTAGGTTGGCAGCTGCACTGTGGGGGAAGGGTTCTGCCACCTGGGCAATGAGGGTGAGGCCCGCCAGCATTGGCATGTGGCCATCCTGGGGCAGCATCTGGTCAGCTACATGGCTGCTGTGGCTTCCAGTCACCAGGAGCTCACAAGTTAGTTTCCTAGGCATGGAAGAGTGTCCAAAGAAAGTCCAGGGTGGGGGCAGGTGAGGAGAACCCCTGCAGGCCAGGACTCAGGGGAGCCCTCAGAAACCAGGCCCCACCTGGCAGGCACACCCATCTCTGCCTGCCACCAGCTGCTGGACAGCCCACTGTTTGCCAGCTTGAGGGGAACCACAGGCCCCGCCCACCCACTGAAGCCATCAGGGTTGGAGCCAGCTCTGGGACTACAAAAGGCTCCTGGTTCTTGGGTCCCTCCCCAGAGGCCACCTTGGGGACGTCTCCCCATGCTCCACACAATGGGTGTTGGCCGGAGGAAGCTGGCCCCACTCTGGGGCCTGGTTCTCGCCCTGGCCTGTGCCCAGCACACAGGTAAGACTCGAGCTGCCTGCTTTCCCAGGCTGGTGCTGGCCTGGCCCAGAGCCCCTGGCTGCTCCTCAAGTCCTGGGATGGCCCTGGCCCATGTGGGCAGCTCAGAGCCCACCCTGGGTCCCAGGCCAGCTGGATGTATTCCTGAGTGGCTCCTACCATTTGGCCTCTGCCTGTGGCACTGACACCTTCAGGCAATTTCCAGCTCGTGGGCTTGGGGAGGGGTCTCTGGGCTGCAGGGCCTCTGAGACAGGGAAGCAGGAGCCCACATCCCAGAGCCCCCCGTCCATATTCCTGCACTCCTTCCCTGTCAGTGGGTCTGCCACTGACCAACAGGGTCTCCTGCTACTCACAGCCCCACCAGGCCTGGGCAGAGCAGCTCTCAGCCCCTGGGTACCTGCCCCTTGGACACCCCCACACATGCCCCATTCACCAGCTCACGTTCTCTGTCTGGGCCTGGATGGGGTCTCCTGGGGGTCTCAACCTTGGGTGGAGGTGTGATGGTGAGACCCTCAGGGGAGCCATTGTTCCCACGCCTGTGCTGTGAGGGTGGTGGGGGAGGCTCCCAGATCCCATGGCATCTTGGTGGCTCCCTCCCTCCTGGGCCGGCACTTCCCTGCCTCTGCCTCCCAGGGGACACCAGTGTGCTTCCAGGAGGAGACACCAGGGTGGGGTGTGGGCAGATGCGCCTGGGGTCCTGGCACCACAGGGCAGGCACAAAGCCCCTGGTCTCCATTGCCACGGCTGCCCAGTCCACACACCCCATCCGTGCTGGACAGTCCCAGAGCCAGGAAGAGCTCAGCCCTCTCCGTCTATTCTGCATTGCTCTGAGCAGGGCCCAACCAGAACCTATAGGGGGACCCTGCCCTTGCTCAGCCACCTCCTCCTGAAGGCAAGGCCAGGGCGGAGTGGGTGAGGCTCGGAGTGCAGACCAAGGCCAGGCTCTCTGGGCTCCATGGTGCTCAGACCTCCCCTGCCATGCTAGCATCACCACTCCTGTCACCAGTCCCTGGCCTCCTGTCATGACCCTCCCTCTTCAGGGGACTATGGGGGTAGGGGGTGACCCACCCGCCATGCTGGCTTTGTGCCCGACAGCATTAGGGGATTCAGGTGACATTTTGCATATCTGGCACAGCCTCTATGGATCCAAAAATCAGCCTCGCTGCAGTCTGCTAGCTGGAGGGAAGCCAAGCCTTCCAGCAGTCTGGGGGCCAATACCACCTGTCCCTCACCCCAGCCGCCCAAGGTGCCTATCCCACACCTGGCCCCCAGGCCCCCAGCCTGCTGGGGGCTTCCTCCAGAGCCCTGCTCACCTATGACAGCTCTGACCAACCCACATCTTTTATCATCTGGTCCCCTCAGTGGAATCATCACGTGGGCGGGGTGCTGGTTTTGTCCCCAGCACCCGAGCATGGAGACCAGGGCTGGCACATGGCGAACCGCATGAATGAGGGAATGGGAATAGAGTGTCCCCTGGAGGCACCAGATCCAGGCAAGGGGACCCCCATGACGAGTTCTCAATCAGACCAAGCTGAGGGGGTCCTCACAGGGGGTCTTGTCTCAGCAGTCGGCCCAAGTGACCTCAGACACCCGGTCCACATAGACAGAGACCCCCCCAGCACTCTTGGTCCAACAGAGAACCCTCACTGCCTGCCCCCCCCAACATTCTAGGCCTTTCTATCCTTCCCTCTATCTGCACCACAACTAATAAGAGCAGCCTGAGCCGGCCGAGGTGCCTGTCTTGTCCTGCCGTGTGCTCAGGCTGTCTCCTCCTTCACAGACCAGGCCCAGGATGGCTCCTCCACATCCAGCTATGAGTACCACAGCAACCTCCCTCTCAGCACCCAGGGGCCTGGTGGTGAGTCTCAGTGTCCCCCTTCCTGGCCCCATGCCTGTCAGATCCCCCTGATCTTGCCCAGCGTGGCACAGAGTGCCCCTTGGGGCAGGTGCACAGTCAGCCACGCTGGGGAGTCAGAACCCGGGAGTCTGGGAGATGCCCCATGTACACGGCCCTGGTCAGTTGCACTATCTGCCCCTCCCTGGTCCTGCCTCTGTGCAGGGCCCTCGACCACCAAGCCCAGTCCAGGCTCTGGAGGGAGCTGCAGAGAGGGGGACAGCCCAGTCATGCCTGCATCTGGCCAAGGCCAGCTGAGTGCACCATGGCTCTGACCAGGCTTCTGCCCTCGTGTGCCCTGATTAACTCCTGATATTTCAGGCAGGGACCATCACTGCTGTCCTCGGTGGCTCTGGCAGAGGCGGGTGGGTGTGGGAGGCCATGTTGCAGCTGGACCTCCAAAGCAAGGGGGCCCAAGGCAAACCTGGAGAGTCTCAGTTTGTTTTTCCCCAACTGGGCCAAGCGGGTTGGGGCCCTTGAGCCTGATCTCAGCACCCCGGTGACCGTCGGGGCCGTGATGCCGATTCAGGCATTTTTGAGATTCTGGGTGCAAAGAAACCCACTCGTACAAACAGCACATTTGGGCCATGGGCGTGTGGGAGCCGGCAGCCCCAGGCTCTGTCCAGGCAACCACCAGGGAGGAGTTGGGAAGTCAGAGGGAAAGCTGGGCTTGCACCTGCAGAAGCCTGCGCCATGCCCCACACGCATGTAATGTGCAGCCGATCCATGTCGGCGTGGGAGCGACAGGGATGCCCTGCCCCACCCGGAACCGGTGCGCACCCCTGAGCCCCTGATTCCGCAGGTGACACCCTCCACGGGGTGACTGTCTTCCCACCCCTGAGGACCACCCCCGTGGTACGAGGTGAGTGAAACCCCATGCAGGGCTGGGGAAGGGTGTGGGCTGGTGAGTCTACCCCTCAGACTGCAGACGCCAGTGGAAGGGGGCCCAGCTCTCGGGTGGACATTGAGAAAGAATTCGAAAAGTTTCCAAAGCTCCCGCAAGCAAGTTCCCGGGACCTCCTAGAAGCACACGGGACCCCCGATGCCCACCCCAGGACAGCAGCTTGAGGAGGATGGTGAAGGGCAGGCTGAGGATGGGCAGATGGGAAGGGGACGTGGGGAGGGGTGGCGCCTCCAAAGGCCACGCTGCCTCCCGCAGCCCTGAACTCCACGCACAACGGACGGGTGTGCAGCACCTGGGGCAACTTCCACTACAAGACCTTTGATGGGGACGTTTTCCGCTTCCCCGGCCTCTGCAACTACGTGTTCTCCGCGCACTGCGGCGCTGCCTACGAGGACTTCAACATCCAGCTGCGCCGCGGCCTGGCATCCAATGCCACCACACCAAGCAGGGTGACCATGAAGCTGGATGGCATGGTGGTCGAGCTGACCAAGAGCTCCGTCCTGGTCAACGGCCACCTGTGAGCCTGGGCCCGGGATGGGTGGGCTGCGATCAGGGAGAGGGCAGTGAGTGGAGCATCGCAGTCGTGGGAGGGATGTAGGGTGACTGGCAAGACCTGAGAGCGGAGCTGGCACTGGCTCTTCGCAGGACCGTGCACTCAGCCCACCTGCCCCTCCCAGCCCAGGGCTCTCTTCCTGCCCCTGGAAGCCAGGCCTGCCTAGGTCTGTGACACCAGAGCCCCAGGGTCCCATGCCCCATCCCGTGCACAGCCCGTGGGCATGGGGAACATGTCACGTACGTGGCCGCAGGAACACTCTGTGCCTGGGGTTCCTCTCCTTGCCGTGCCCCCAGAACCTCAGCAAGCCCTCTCTCTGCAGGATCCAGCTGCCCTTCAGCCAGTCCGGGGTCTTCATCGAGCAGAGCAGCGGCTACCTGAAGGTGGTGGCCAGGCTTGGCCTGGTCTTCATGTGGAACCAGGACGACAGCCTCTTGGTGAGGCTGGGGGCACAGGGGGTGGATGGAGCCTCCTGGTGAGGATGGAGGTGGGGGGCCAGGCACGCACCTCCAGCCCTCTGAGGGCCTGGCCTGCTGCAACAGCCTCTCCAGACAGGGGAAAGTGAAGTCCAGACCCCACCCCACACAGCAGGTGACGATGGACACCTGGGGTCCGCATCCCCAATACGGAGGCCCTGTATGTGCCAGGCGTCTCCCCCAGGACAGGACAGCCCCGCCCAGGCTCATGGCTTTGTGGAGCTCATGGGAGGATCTCACACCTGTGTCTCCTCTGTAGTCCCCGGCCCCTCCTTGGGAACCTCACCTGTCCTTCACCTCTTGGGTTGTCCCTGGTGGGGACGGGCATCTGATTTCTCCCTCCATTCCAGCTGGAGCTAGACTCCAAATATGCCAACAAGACCTGTGGGCTCTGCGGAGACTTCAATGGTGTCCCCGTGCTCAATGAGTTCCTCTCCCACAGTAAGTTCTCACAGCGTGGCTACCGGGCACTGTCTGCTCCAGCACCTTCTTCAGCGTCCCCAGAAGTCTCGGAGTTTCATACACATGCTCACATGCTCTGAGCACACGCACATGTGCATAATCCCCAGACAAACACATGGACATGTTGACCTGTACTCTCGCACAATTCCAGCACACACCTGCACACATGCACACACCCACACCACCCCAGCATGTGCACACACGTGCATGCACATGCACACACAGTCCTGTCACATGGGGGGCCTCAGAGTGTGGCTAGAAAGCAAATTCCCCATCAGGCTCCTCGTTCTCAGTTTCTTGGCAGCGGCCCCTGATCACACACCTCACCTGGAATTACACAGCTGCCTCCTTCTTGGTTTTGGAGGCTTTGCCATCAGGCAGTGGCCTTGCAAATGCGACCTGCACCAGCCAGAGCCCCTGACCACTGCCTCCCCTCTGCTGGGCCCATGGTCTCATACAAGGCTACCTACAAGGGGTACACAACCACAGGGGACAGAGCCTACCCACGTGCCAGGTGGGCTCAGTGCCCACATGACTTCAGGTTCATTCTCCAACCCCGGGGCTGCGTCCCAGCCTGGACGCACGAGCCCAGGGTCCTGTGACAGTCGATGCCTCAGCCACGCCCTGCAGCCCTGGATGCCCCGGGCTCTGGAGGTGCTTCCTTGCGTCATTTCCAGTCTCCCTGAGAGTGCCATGGCAGTGTGGACGGGGAGGCCAGGCGGCATAGCTGGAACAACTCGGGCATCCTTGGTGGGGTGCCCCCAGCATAAATGACCCTGCTCATTCCACCACGGGGATCGAGCCCCAGACTTTGTTGCTCGGGTGCTGGGCATGGAGGGGCAGGACCTGCAGGCAGAGCCGGGCTCTGTGCTTTCTGCAGACACCAGGCTGACTCCCATCGAGTTTGGGAACCTGCAGAAGATGGACGGCCCCACGGAGCAGTGTCAGGACCCCGTCCCTGAGCCTCTGAAGAACTGCTCAACCAGCCTTGTAAGCCTAGGAGTCAAGGGGCACTGGCGGGCTGGGGAGGGGGTGCTGCGAGCTCTGGGACGTGCGTGCAGTGGTGGCGCTGCGCTCTGACTCACCATGGCTCCGGCTCTGCCAGGACATCTGTGAGGAACTCCTGAGCAGCCGGTCGTTCTCGGGCTGCACGGACCTGGTGAACGTCAGCAGCTACCTCGAGGCCTGCCAGCAGGACTTCTGCTTCTGCGAGCGCGACGGCCTTACCGGCTGCGTCTGCGACACGCTGGCTGAATACTCCCGGCAGTGCACCCACGCCGGGGGGCTGCCCCAGGACTGGAGGAGCCTCGACCTCTGCCGTGAGTGCTCCCACCCCTGGCCCCTGCCCCTGTCGTGCCATCCTGCCTTGCTGACATGAGCCCCGCCTCCCCGGTCTCCCCACAGCCCAGACATGCCCTCACAACATGCGATACCACGAGTGCCGCTCGCCCTGCACCGACACCTGCTCCAACCGGGAGCACTCCCAGGCCTGCGAGGACCACTGCGTGGCAGGCTGCTTCTGCCCGGAGGGTGAGACGGTGTCCCCACCCCCACCCGCCCAGGTGCATGTCCCCGAGAAACACGCAGACACATGCTGGGTGCTAGGCGGCTGCACTGCTGCAGCAGAGCCGCAAGGAAAGACCCCTGACCCCTAGGCCCCTGAGGCTGGCTGAGGCCCCCAGCCCGCTGCAGGGCCACGGTGGGCAGAGGGCCTGTCCCCCTCCACACACCCACCACGCGGACACAGCTCCGGCACCTGTCACGTGGCCTGCCTATGCCCTGCAGGGACGGTGCTTGACGACATCAGCCAGGCTGGCTGCATCCCTGCGTCCCAGTGCTCCTGCACATACAATGGGGCCACCTACGCTCCGGGGGACGTCTACTCCACAGACTGTACCAACTGGTAGGTCCCGGGCCCCTCCCTCTGGCCTGACCAGAATGTGAGCTGGGGTCTGTGGCCCGGGTACCTGTCATAGGCTAGCTGTGACCAGTGTGGCATAGGCCAGTCTGTGGCCAATGTGGCATAGGCCAGCAGGGTCCCCAATCTGGGCAGGGATGTGGCAGGCCTGGGTGAGACTCAGACGCTGGAGGCTGGGTGCTCCTGGCGGCTGGCACACACAGTGCCCTCTCTCTTGCTGCTCTTAGCACCTGCTCTGGAGGCCAGTGGAGTTGTGAGGAGGTCCCATGCCCGGGCACGTGCTCGGTGCTGGGCGGTGCCCACTTCTCCACCTTCGATGAGAAGAAGTACACGGTGCATGGAGACTGCAGCTACGTGCTGACCAAGGTACGGCCGGGGTGCCCAGGTCCTCTCCTGGACAGAGTGCCTTTCAGGGATGCATCCAGCCTCCCCCAGGAACCCCCAGCCCACTGTGTGTCCCTGCTGCACCTGGGGTGACCCTGGAAGTCCCCAATGGTGAGAGCTCGAGGAAAAGCCCCAGCTCTCTAATGCAGGTCCCCACAGGGCCACTTGGGCTGCTGATCAAAGCCTCCAGCCCTGGCTGACCCCATCTGGCACCCTAAATCTTCTGTGCTTTGGGTTTTGCTTTTTTAACAGCCTTTTTTAGAACGGTTTTAGATTTACAGATAAATTGAGCAGGAAGTACAGAGAAGTCCCACATGCCCCCTGCCCAACACACATTTTATCCTGTTATTAGCAACTGGCATTGGTGTGGGGCATGTGGTACCAGCGACAGCCAACACTGACACGTCGTCATCACCAGAGTCCATAGCTTACTTTAGGGTCCATCCCTGGACTGGAAGTCCCCCATGCTCCACCTGTTCCCCTCCCTGCCCCGGCCCCCGGCCACCGCTGGTCTTCCCCCCGTGTCCACGGCGCTGGCCTCACGCGGGCGCAGCCTTCTCGGCTTCCTCACGCGCAGCGCTGCGCTGAGGTCCCTGCGTGTGTGCCTGCTGTATCTGGGAGGGCGTCCTGAGAGCCCCTCCTTGTCAGGGGGTGGGGGCATATGAGGACTGAGTGGCTGCTCCGCGAAGCCCACGGGCAGTGGCGGGACAGGGGTTTCCAGCCAGCGTGAGTAGCACGGGTGGGAGGAGGGGGAGGTCACGGCGGGCTGGGGCCGGCCGTGAGGACCAGTGTCGCGTCCCGTAGTCCTGTAACAGCAGCGCCTTCACCGTGCTGGCCGAGCTGCGCAGGTGTGGGCTGACGGACAACGAGAACTGCCTCAAGAGCCTGACTCTGAGCCTGGACGGGGGGCACACGGTGAGTGTCACCGGCGGGGCAGGGTCAGACCCCAGAGATGGGGGAGGGGAGGGTCGCCCTCACAGCAAGTCGCCTCTGCCCAAGCCTTCGGCCCCTGGCGAGAACAGCGAGCAGCCAGCCAAAAGACCCTCCTACCCCACGGGCTGTGTCCGTTCCTCATGGGTCTTGTGAGTGACTGTCCCTAAACAGCACAGCTCAGGGACAGGGCACTGCAGTTTCCACCCCCGCCCAGCTGGCCCCAGGAAGGAGGGACTGGGTGACTTCTGGACAGCACAGTTTCTCTACCAAAGTCGATTTCTCTGTTTTATAAAATAACTTTGGCTTTTACGTACTAAAATAACGCGCTGTCCTCGGAGAAAACTTAGAAAATCAGAAGTACAGGGAGTAGAAATCAGGTCACCAGTCCTACCCCGTAGGAGCCCACGGCCCCACAGCAAAAGTCTCCCAGCCACTCGCAGACGCATCTCACAGCTGCCTCTGCGGGGCGCTGGGGCGACGCGGCCGAGCCTGGCCCTGCACTGACCCCGGCCCTGCACTGACCCCGGCCCTGCACTGACCCCGGCCCTGCACTGACCCCGGCCCTGCACTGACCCCGGCCCTGCACTGACCCCGGCCCTGCACTGACCCCGGCCCTGCACTGACCCCGGCCCTGCACTGACCCCGGCCCTGCACTGACCCCGGCCCTGCACTGACCCCGGCCCTGCACTGACCCCGGCCCTGCACTGACCCCGGCCCTGCACTGACCCCGGCCCTGCACTGACCCCGGCCCTGCACTGACCCCGGCCCTGCACTGACCCCGGCCCTGCACTGACCCCGGCCCTGCACTGACCCCGGCCCTGCACTGACCCCGGCCCTGCACTGACCCCGGCCCTGCACTGACCCCGGCCCTGCACTGACCCCGGCCCTGCACTGACCCCGGCCCTGCACTGACCCCGGCCCTGCACTGACCCCGGCCCTGCACTGACCCCGGCCCCGCACTGACCCCGGCCTGCACTGACCCCAGCCCCGCACTGACCCCAGCCCTGCACTGACCCCAGCCCTGCACTGACCCGGCCCGCACTGACCCCGGCCCCACACTGACGCCGGCCCCGCACTGACCCTGGCCCCACACTGACTCCAGCCCTGCACTGACCCCAGCCCCGCACTAACCCCAGCCCTGGCTCCTTCCAGGTCATCGTGGTCAAGGCCAGTGGGGAGGTGTTTGTGAACCAGATCTACACCCAGCTCCCTGTCTCTGCAGGTAAAGCACCAGCCCCCTCCTGCTGTAGAGCTGCCCGGGGATCCCACCTTGCTCCTCAGTAAAACCTTTGCCCTCTGTGTCCGCAGCCAACGTCACCCTCTTCAGGCCCTCAACCTTTTTCGTCATCGCCCAGACCACCCTGGGCCTGCAGCTGGACATCCAGCTGGTCCCCACCATGCAGGTGTTTGTGAGGCTGATGCCTGAGCTCCGGGGTCTGACCTGTGGTAAGAGGGGCCGCCCACCCCCCCAGGCCCCTGAGCCCACCCTCGCAGCCGGGCGCACAGGCCTCAACCTGCCCTCCCGCCGCAGGTCTCTGCGGGAACTTCAACAGCATCCAGGCCGACGACCTCCGCACCATCAGCGGGGTGGTGGAGGGCACGGCTGCCGCCTTCGCCAACACCTGGAAGACCCAGGCCTCCTGCCCCAACGTCAAGAGCAGCTTCGAGGACCCCTGCTCCCTGAGCGTGGAGAACGGTACGCTGTGCGCCCGCCCTGCCTCCCGCTGACGGTCGGGTGCTGGTTCGACACCTCTGTGTCCCAGCTGGTCACTCACTCGAGAAGCCGTTGCTCCATGGCCCCAACCCACATTGTCCAGGCACGGGGCCCAGCTGCCCAGCGGCCCCAGCCCTGACAGGGGGACACCAGGTGGTAAAAGGGCAAACTAACCAACACGGGCACTGGTACAGCCATGGAACATTCTGGAAGACAAGGTCAGGGCGCCAAGGGCAGGGTGGAAGCCACCCTCCGTGTGCAGCCCACCCAGGTAGGGGCTTGGGAGGGGCCTCCGAGGACAGTCCCAGGGAGGCACCTGTCCTGTCATCACTGTTTTCTGTGGAGCATCATGAATTTGGGACCCAAGTCTCATTTAACTTTCATTTGACACTGGGTGTCCGGCTCCCTGGACCGAGCCAGGGAGGGAAGTGGGGCTCAGTCTCAGGTGGTCCTGGCCTTCTCCTCGCCCTCCTGCTGCCCAAGAAGCAGGGGTCCCCTGCTTGTCTGTCCACTGGTGTCCCTAGAAGGTGGCAGCTCTGCGGGGTGCAGGAAATGAGAGAACCAGCTGCCATGGCTTCTTGACACTGCACTCCATTGGGAGGGGCTCTCTCTTGGGAGGACACCAGCCGCCCGTGCTGCTGTTGGCAGCGTGACTAAGAGCCACTGACCGCCGTTCCCCTCTGTCCCCAGAGAAGTACGCCCAGCACTGGTGCTCACGACTGACCGACACCGACGGCCCCTTCACCCGGTGCCACACCGCCGTGGACCCAGCCACCTACTACTCGGTAGCGTGCGCCCACCCGCCTCTCGCCTCCCAGCGGAGGCCCGGCTGCTGGGCTGAGCGGTGCCACAGGCAGCGGGGTCTGCCATCAGACCTGTGTCTCCAGCTCCACCCTCACCCATACGCTCGCTCACTCATGCATTCACTGAGCCGCCCGTTCTCTCGTGCAGTATTCATTCATTCATTCCTTCATTATCTCACTCATCCATTCCCTCACGCACTCACTCACTAATGCAGTCGTGCATTCATTCATTCATTATTCACTCACTCATTCATTCATTCACTCATTCATTCATTATCTCACTCGTCCATTCCCTCACGCACTCACTAATGCAGTCGTGCATTCATTCATTCATTATTCACTCACTCATTCATTCATTCACTCATTCATTCATTATCTCACTCGTCCATTCCCTCACGCACTCACTAATGCAGTCGTGCATTCATTCATTCATTATTCACTCATTCATTCGTTCATTCACTCATTCCTTCATTATCTCACACATCCATTCCCTCATGCACTCACTCACTCACTAATGCAGTCGTGCATTCATTCATTCATTATTC